TGCTGTAGGACAGGTAACTACAAACCCTGCATATAGAATTTCACTACTTCAGATATCACTTGGAAAAGTAAGGTTTTGTGGCAACACGGAGAGACCTTGGCATTTTTGTAACGCTTAAGAGAAAATGGGGCATTTATGCCCTTCATAAAAGGTATTTTGAGGCAAACTCTCAGCCACTGGAGTGGACGGGTCTACAGCACTTTTATTTGGCTGAAGATCTGTTGGTTGGCATTTCTGGAGTCCCTTGTCATCAGATCAACATAAGAGTAAAATCAAGTTCGTTAAACCACACTGCTGCTCTCCATTGGAAGTGTCCTACAGAAGCTAAGTGCTTTGACGAACACTGTTGCAGACATGTCTACCACCCATTTCACCTGGGTCAGAGTGTATCTTTTTCTTCTTCTCAACAAGATTTTATTGGTTTATTCTCCCACTTTCCTGTTTTTAACCAGGTTCAACGTCCTAAAACTTCAGTGACAATTAGATCTGTACTTGAGCTGAACAGGTTGTCTTATGGCTCAAAAGTCAGTGTGCCATGGTGAGCCTGGAGAGACCAAGTGAAGGAAAGTGGGCAGTTGGTTTCAAATATCTCCAGTGACATACTCCAGAAATCTTCTCCGTAACAGGGTTATTTGGAGGATTTTCTTCCAATGTGAAAACTGAAAATAAGCAAAAAATTAGGACACCACCACGAAGAAAATTTAAATCTATTATGAAAACACCTAGTTTCTTTCTAGCCTTCGCCTTGTATCTGTCTCTGGTTGCCACAAGAAGTCTAAACTGAATGCAGCAAAAAAAAAGGGAGGAGGAAATCCTGTATTACAATCTTTCAGAATTCTTTTTGTTTGAAAAAATTAAACCAAGCCGTAGTCAAACCCGTAAATCTGAGAAAATTTAGGCGACTCATTTAATTTTTTTCTCATGTTCATAGAAAATTTGCAAACTTACTGTCAATCTTTACGATTAATGAAAATTAAAATCAACACATTAAAGCTGAAGAACTTTTCTAGCCATTTTGATTGATTCAGCTGAAATTTGTTACAGGGTTGCATATTGTTCTGTAACAGAATTATTTACAGAAAAATGTCAGAAGATTATAGACTATTTTACAAGAAAAACCCAGTACTAGTTGACCAAAAAGACTGGTTTCAATCTACATATTAGTGCACAGAAATTGGGAAAAAGAGTGAAGTACAGGAAGAGACTTTGAAACTGCAATATACGAAATAATATAATAGGACAGGATATTAAATAGTCACACATATAACATCTAGAAGTTTAGTGTAATTGCTAGAATAACAGTTTAGTGTCAAATAATGAAGGACATTAAAAAAAGAATTAGTCTAATGCTGTGTTCCTGTTCATAAATGTAGTGATTTATTGTTCCATAGTTTACATATTTTCTTAGGTGAGATAACAGTTAATTTTCACCTCTTGTATACAAATCCTTGTATTCACTGACCAGAAAAATTAATACCTTGTGTTAGAGTTTGCCTAAATTTTATACACCTGAAAGAGTCAACAGTGAGGGTTTTTTCATATGTTTTCTATATTTTGAAGGGGAAATAACAGCTTTTCTAAATCTGTGTTTTTTATGGACTTTGTGGAATTATTTGTGGCATTACCTGCCACTCGCACTCACTGTGAGCAAGTATGGGAGCATAAAAGCACAAGGTGTGTTATAGCTTTTGTACCAAAACAAGCCTCCCTTTAGAGTTATGTTGTGCCTTACTTTTGTTTTATTGGTAGCTATGATTGTCCTCAACAGTGGTGCTACAGATCTCAGAGGGACTTGATACCAGATCTTCCAAACAGCACAGCAAGTACTTGCACCCATCAATAGCAGTCAAATTTTTATATTATCCATGAAGAATACAGAGAGCAGTGAGAATTGTTGATGTCATATGCATTGAATCTGTGGCCTCATGATTTAAGATATTTATGCAGGAAACGAGTAGTTCTATAGTTCTGATTCATAGTTACTTCCCAGGTGACTACTTTCAGAGAATCAGCAGAAAATATATTTTTCTTAATGGATATTGAATGGTAGGTCAATAATTTAGCTTTATAATGAATTAGTTTAAAATTCCACAGTGATCTCATTGATAAATACCAAATATTGCACTATACCCTATATTCCCTCTACGTGAATTACTAAGTCAGTATTTCAAGTATGGGATATATATTCCATTATCATGCCTTAAAAGAATTATTAAATATTCATTCCTGTCTTTTGCCTCCTGCCGAGCGGCAATAGTGAAGCCAGGAAGGAAATCCACAGGATTTCCCTTTCTCCCTTTTTTCTTTTTATCTTCTTCTCCCCTTGCTTGTTCCCTTCTGCTGCTGTCCAAGTTGTACACTCCTTAATGATGAAATGGTAAGAAATAGAGAACTCGGTGAAGGAAATGCAAAAAGTACAGGTAAAACTATAGCTTCTCAGAGCTGGGGTGAAATTCCCATAAGCTACAGAAGGCCAGAGTTTCCTTCAGCTTTGGAAAAATGCCCTTGTCAGAAATATCAAGCTATGTATGGGAAAAGGGCAGCTGTGAAAGTTAGCAGTCCTAAAGACCTTAAAGATTGCGTCAAGTAAGGGTGTAATGGAGGAGGAGCTTTAGCTGCAAGTTTTCAGGTAGTTTTCAATTTTCTTTTCAGTGTGCAGAGCTCTGTCTAGTGAATTCAAACGTGCTGATAAACAGTTTATTTTCCTGGCTTACTTGAAATAGGCTGCTGAGAAGCTGTCCTTCCACACCCAGGAGCTGCAGACTGAGAACCAGTGCTTTGGAGCTTACAGAGAGTCCTTTAGAAAGCAGTCTAAACCAGGAGCTTTACTCACTAACTTCTACTGGACAAATGCCATCCAGAGTAATCCTATGTCTTATTGTTCTGGGTATGTTGTTTTAATGAAGGAAAAACCCCAAACATCAAAATATCTCCACTGGTGTCTTTTATTAAGTAATGCAAAATACAGTATTAATTATGACACTGCATGCATTTTAGACGATATAAATGCAAGCCTACAGAAAATGTGACAAAGAAACCCTCAATTACTTTTGAGGTAGTATACAAGGAAAAATAGGAAAGCAGAAACACAGTGGATTAAAAGAACAAAATATTAGTATCACTTTGTGCATACATTAGTCACTCATAAATACATTTGTATGAAATAACTTAAGATACAATTCCATTCTTGTTAAAAAATATACTTCTTCAAATTCACCGTTCTTGTTTGTTTTGTTTTCACGTTACATTTTATGGTATTTTATCAGGTGGATTTATTTTTTTTTTATCACCGCCATCATGATTTTACCCTTTTCCTCCAAGAGTTTAGGCACAGATGGCCTCATGCACAAAAATAAATAAGAAACTTGCTTGAAGGGAAAAGAATTCTGCTCAAATAGCTTAGGATAGTCTAATAAATACCATTGTGTTTATAAAAATATTTCAGGTTTATAAAAGAGGGGAGGGGACACTCTCCCACGTGGAAAGGATGTTAAGTGAAAAGTGCCATTTAACATTTTTAAGAGATTTTGTTTTAAACATATAGTACCATTATGAATATATATTTTATAATAATCTGTTTCTTAGAACCTTAGTGTTCACTACAAGTATCAAATGCGCTTTGCTTCCTTTTGTATATTGTCTTATTGCCGTTTTGGAAGATGCCTAGTTCAGAAGGGTTCCGTATAATTGTGCTTTTGTAAGACTGTCCTTCCGACTCAAACCAGTACTCCCAGTCCGCTGAAACTGCTGCTGTTTGCTGTGAATACCCGAATGGCTTCCTTGCTCCATGGAAGACTGGTGGATTTCTGAAGCCTCCACTGAACTGTGATTGAGGGACTCTGCGGAGCTGTTGGGGCTCACGTCCACGTACTCTCTCTTCAATACCGGGCTATTTTCCATGGCTTTGCTACTGCATAACTGGACGGTGATCCTTTCATTTTTTTGGTCTCTTGATTCTTTTGTTTTGTAAGTGGGCAATTTTTCCTGTTTACAGCTAGTGCTGATGTCAATATTCAGGCCACTGTCTGTTCTCAGGAAGCAAGAATCCACAAGTCTACTTTGGCAGATGTCGTCTCCCTCTGAGCAGCTATCAGCTTTGTAACTAGCATAGATAGGGCTTGTTCGACTGTCTCCCTTCTTAATGGGGCTGCTGTAGTACTGCTCTGAAAAACTACAGGGTGACAGCCTGTCAGTGTTCCTATAAGAGTATGCACCAATGTCCTCCACACTCAGTTGCCTCCATCTCCCAGGCAAGTCTTCTTCTGAAAGGTGGGTGCTCCTGCACTCGTTCCTCATTTTCTGGTTTGCTAAAGCCTGCTGTGGTGTTATGGCTGAGAAATGAAAAGGTTCGTTTGCATACGAAGGCAGAGTCCTAGTAAAAGTGGGTGAGTTTTCATTGTCATCGGCAAGATCCATGTGCTGCCCAGGTTTGGACTTGGCAAACCTAGGACTTCCCTGATGTTCGTAACCTGCGGGTGACTTTCTTTCAAACAGTTCATCTCTGTTGCTCATGTAGATCGCTTGCTGAGAGGCTGTCAGAGTATTGGCTTGGGCGTTCTCCTTCTCCTCGGATGTGACACTGAAGCTGGAATAGGAGCTGGAGGTCGGCAGAGAGGTAATGTACTCTGGGAAAGCTTCGTGAGAGAAGCTGGAATGGAAACCGTCTTCTTCGACAGTGCTGTCTGTGGAGTTCTGAGACCTCAGGAACCCCACGTCTTTCACTTGCGTGTCCACACTCTGCCTCCTCTCCCTTCTCCTCTCCTCAGGGCAGTAAAGAGCGGTGTCACTGCAGTAGATGTCTGACTTGTACTGAGGCCTTTGTCCAAGTTTTCCAGTAGAGTCCTGAAAATTGAGATCCCTTGTAGATGGGCTTGACAAGTGTGAAGACAAGCTGTTTGGATCTGGTTTTTCCAGTACTTTGGCAATGACGCAGGTGGGTATGGTATCAGCGTAAGATGTGTGGCACAAGGGGACAGAAAGGCTGCACCCATGTTTTTCCAGATGGATGCTGACTCTTTCCTGAAAGTCAGATGGCAACTGTAACATAAAAGAGATGACAAAGGGGAAAGGAGAGAAGGGTGCATGTCAATACTGGTGTCTGCTTGGGCTTATACAACGTGGATAGATGGAAGCTGTTTGATATTGCACAGCCCAGTATGTGCAGTTCTTTGACTAATGTAGTGACCAGAATCTTTGTGCATTTCTAAAAACAAGCGTAATCAAATGACTCGCATATTGTAACATTCGGAAATCTTCACCTGCTTTCCCTTGTGGAAAACATCATGAAACTGAAAGGTTTCCTTCCAAGTCAACTCAGGTTGGATAGGAATGCTGTAAAGAATGTGGTAAATAATCTTAAAAAGGCAGGTAGGGAATTAGAGCCTACAGCAACGCTTTCCAGACCATGTGCATGTCTGTGATTTTCAGCTGGAGTGTGAGGGTGCAGCGGTCTCTGCTGGGGTGAGGAAAGAGGAGGAAGAGATCAGATTTATTCTGTTGTTCTTTTGCTTTTCTTCGAGCTCGTCTTGCCTCCAGCCCAGTGCCACATTGCTTCCTGCCCTTCAACATCACATTTGATAGACAGTGCTGTTTGAAGAGGCAGGAAAGTTAGCTTCACTGACACTTACCGCAATGGTACTGGCTACTACGACAGGAGTGATCCTGTGCTGGGAAGAAGCAGATCAAACCGGCTTCCTTGCCCCGTCGCTTAGTACTTGTCAGATCAACCACCCACATAAGCCTCAACGTGTTCCCCTCTTCCAGCAGCTGCTAGCTGACTGCTTTTCTAGTTTCTTACTGCACTGACAGAAGAAATAAGAGCTAAGTCTTGAATTTCCATCATGATTCCTGTGACAGACTACTCAGAATTAATCAGGAAGTCTGTTATGCATCAGAAATCATATAGTTTTAGAGAAAGTCGGGGTCAGCTGTGTGGATGGTGGTTCCACCTGCCATTCAGTTGTGTGGACCAGAAGAGACTGAGAGACCATGTTTCTTGGCTTGGAAGTCTGGTAGGTAATATCTATGTAGGTATCACCAAGTGTACTTGCCAGTCAAATTTTATCTAGCTTGCTCATTTCAGATCCCTGTCAATGATCAGACGGGGATACGAGAGAGCTGCATGATGGCTGTCTCTTGGTATTTCTTGCTGGAACTAAGTTTTGAGTTTGTGACTGTGATAGATCCCTTGACATCCATGTTGATTTACACCAGTTAAGAATTTAGCCCTTGAATGCTTGGCTGAACTCTGATTTACTCAAAAGTTTCTTTTTTATAATTAGAAATCAAGTTTCTCTTTACTAAATGATCAGTGGTTGCCCTTATAGCCCTAACTTTGTTTCTCTAGAGGGGAAAACACTACAAATATTGAAGTGTTCCCACCCCTTCGTCTTTTAAGCAAGAGAAATTGAAGGTGCCTGCTCCTTGTGATGATCTTACACGATATAAGATATGAAGCTCCTCTTTTAGTTTCACAGGGAAGTTTTAAAATTTGGTTTAGCCCCCAAAACTCAATGTATTCAAAACATGGCATGTTATGAAATGGTATTCTTGTTAATGTGGAGTAGGATGAGTGTTTTTTCAGACAATAGACCTTCTAGGATATTTTGGATTAATCATTTTGTTGTTAATTAGCTCATATGTCTTCCATTGGAAATAAAGAACATGATGTTGCCAGTCTGCTGGCAGACAGCAATATTAGTCATAGTAAGTACAGATACAACAAGGATTGAATAAACAGGTTGTAAAGTAGGGCTGCTATAAATTGCCACAGAAATGAGGAAAAGAAATACAATTCATTTAACATGAGACTAGTGTACAGGGCAGCTACTATTTCAGTATCTTGTAACACCACTGTTTGATCTATTTTATACACATTATTAAGATTATGTATTAAGAAAGGCATTAAGAAAAACAACATTATTTTCTGGACATTGCACTGGAAACTGGAATTACAAAAATGATGTTGCTGCTATATTACTATATTGTACTATAGTTTAGGTTTCTGGATAATATACAATATTTTGTCAGGCAATATTGGCATTTGTAAGGAATTTATTGGCAGTGACAGCACATTTGCATTTGTTAAAGTAATAAAAAAAATAAAAGTGGAGACTTTGCCTATTTAACTGAAAGTGTGACAGTCTGGGAAATTGTGAGGAAGTCCCACATATGTGGTCGTTTTCTGCAAGTGAACAACAAAGTACCTTTAAGGCCCTAATTCTTGCTAACAGGTCGTGTGCATTCAAGTGTGAGTAATATCATGATAATTCCTGGATATAAATTGCTAAGAGAAGTCAGTTTCAAGGGAAAAATAACAGGACCAAGATGATGGTTAATTCTGAAATTCTGTCTTTGTTCCAGAAAATTGGTACCCATTTGACAGAAGAGTCTTGATCTACCCTTATTTAAGAGGGTCGTTTAGTGCTCTGAAGCAATCTGCTGGCTTAGAAATGGCTTATACATTCCACACTTGATTTTGAATAATTCTCTTGCAGAATTGCACAGGAGAGACCATTTGAGGGGGAACTAACCTGAGGGGACTGATGACGGGAAGGCTTTTCTCCATGACCTTCACCGAAGTAATACAGGGGAGGAAGGTGATGATGCTTTGTGTAGGGCCTGCATCCCCAGAGACAGTCTTGTTCACTAAGTAATTGCCTCCCCTCTAAGGGGTCTATCTCTCAAACCTGGTTTCCTTGGAAGCAAGGATTATTAATTAAAGTTTACCCCTTGGAAATCAATCATTCAGTGCTCTGTTTGCTTTAGAAAAAGATACTTGTTCTGTCAGTTCATTTTAAAATTCAGGTTTAGAAATGAGCTGGACTGGAAAATAGCTTCAGGAAGAAAATTGATTATATCAGAATCTCTGATGTCTGCAGCTTGTCATTTCCCTGCTTTCACTCCACTGTTCTCCCCCAAGCAGTTTGTAGTCTGGAGTTCTCAGCACTTTGGTTTTGCTAAAAGCTTTCTTTTTGGTATGATCAGTGCAGGCCCATTCTACCAGACTGTAGAGGTTTTGGGGAAGAGACAATCTCCAAGATCCTTCACTGACTGTCATTTTTGTCAGCACCTCCCTCAGCTGCACTGAGTAACAGCAAGGGAGCAAGCCCTGCCATGGCTTAAGAAGGAATCAGGGGAAGAATCAAAGCTTTAAGGGCAAACAAGTTCTGGAACTGATACGCGTTAAATAACGTGTTTTCCGCAAAATATTTATTTCTTTGAATATTCACCAAGTTTGGTCACATTACCTCAGAAAGCTTATGTGCTCTGTCGTAATTCTTGCTGCACTGGAGCAACTGAGCAGCTAAGTTGCAGTCCTTCCTATAGAGCTCCTAGAAAACAAAAAATAGTCTGTTTTTTAAAGTTTGCAAGTCACTTGTGGCCTTCAGCCTTTCTCTCATGCCTGAACAGTGTAAAAAAATGTTACTTTGGGGAGATTTGGAACATGCTTTAACTTTAAAACACATTAGGATTCTGTGTTTATTGCACAGGCCTGAGACGTTTGCTCCTTTGCTGTGTAAGGCCTGATAATATTACTAAAAAGAAAATTTTGATAACTGTTACTACAGAACAGTAATCTGCATTTCAGAAGATGGATACTTACCATTTGGAATTAATTTTATACTGTTAACATGCATGCCGCTATGAAGGCTAGAATAAACATGAACTTTTAAGGAAAAAGAAAATTTAAGAACAAACAATTTTTACTGAGTATTATTCAGATCAGCACCAAGATACTACTTTAGAAAATACTTAAATAATCTTATGGCACTGTGGGAGAAATTAGTTGCAGAAATTTGCATTGTATTGTTTTTAAAAAGAAGGCCTTTGTCTACTTGTGAAAGTTTCTTGCTGCTTCCTGGCGCCTTTCACATCTTGCAGAACACAGCTATACAAATACATTGAATCTCACTGCAAATATTTGATGCCTCAGAACAGGATATTTTTACTGGTTGAGAAATTACCATGAGAATTCCACATGGGGATAAAGAGAATTTAAACAAGCTACTTATACTATTTTTGTATTGAGTGGCTCTCCCAGCCTATTTAATGGGAAAATTCAGTACATAGATTTGCCCTTCATTTAAATTTATTTTAGCACACATAACTGTGTAGCATTAACTTTTCATGAGTATCTTTGAGTCCCCAGATGAAAGAGTTGTATATTGCTTTTCCTAATCAAGATGCCATCAGAAGCAAAGTTGGCTTCAGAAGTTGACTTTATAGGTGACCACAGGTGAGACAGACAAAATATAAAAACACAATGGACGCCGGGCTATGTTAATCTGTAAAAATTACAAAATGTTTATAGAGAAGAGGTGTTGAATAATGAAATTATTTGAATTTTCTCTTGCATTGATGTTATAGTTTTGTTGCATGCAGGTTTTTACTGTTTCACCTGTTTTTTTTTTAAATTGATAAAGAAATTTTCTGTGAAGAGGAAAGGTGGAAAATCCTTCTGTTATGAAATACCGTTTGAACAGTATTCTGTAATAACAGCTGGAACAAGACATTCCTGAGAACCTGTGAGGCATGGAGGTCGTAAATGTAGTTTCTTATGATCATTAGTTCATTATATCATCGTAATCAAGGGCCTTTAGATAGCCTTGGTTTGTGATTTTTTTTGTGTGTGTGTCTTTGTGAGGTTTTACATATGCCACTTCTGCTTTAAATGCACTGGGGAGATACACTGATTTAAGCCTTAAATTTTATATCAGTAAACACTGTTTTTATGCCATAAAACAGATGCAAGGAGTAGGAACCCAAGAATTCAATTTAGAAGCAAAATCTGTTGCATGTGCATGTGATTCTGACATGTTACACGCACACCAAACACATAACATATTGCTGCACAACTTATAGCACAGACAAGTGCTCCATGTCCCATATGGCCTTACTAGGCACACAAAAATGAAATCACTCCAAAATCTAATGCTTTCTTCAAAAGCCGTGTGCTTTTCTGAACCTCTGAAGCAGTTGTCATGGAGAGTACAAAAAGCATTTCTGAGGCTTTATTTTTAGCAGCTTCAAAAATTACTACAGAAAAGCTACATGTGAGTGAGATGTGCCACGTGCATTTTGTTCTCAACATGCTGGGACATGCCGTGCTTCTATACCACACCCTAATGTTCAGAGTAGTTCTTGGAAGAACAGTACTTTGAACTCCAGTCCATTCTAAATTGCCTTTTAAAAAACTATGAATATTGAACACATTTTTTCTTGCAGTCAAGTTTGAGATCATATCTGAAGTAGTGTAAGTGCAGGTATACTTACTGGGAGCTTTATGATTTTTTCCCTCTATTTTAAACATGAAACAACTGTACTGATTTTAGCTGATTAGTCTACCTAAATGTAGTCCATTGCATTTACCATGCTTCATTACTTAACAGCTATTAGAGTTGTGTTGAAACAACAGTTACCTTACAATATCTATAAAAGCAGAGGGTCACACTGTGAACTCTTTGTTTCCATTGGAAAGCTATTAATCGCATAGGTGCAATTCACGTCAACAAGGCATATTAATGGGATCAAATGCTCCCTGCTATGATGAAGAGTTCATATGAAATATGGGAAGACTGAATGTAAGATGCTGAAAAATAAATGTTAACAGAAACATGTCTTCTGCAAGTGAAACTTTTATTAAATATATAAGGAATGGCTCAATAATGAACTAAATGCCTGCAATCTCCCTTTCTTTGCTGTCTTTTTAGGTTTATCCCTGGAAGAATTTCATAAGCTTGGTTGCCACCTGTTAACAAGCCAGTTTTCAGGCGAAATCAATGTGGAAATACTGTGTTTTAGAATATTTTTTTCCATAAATTTTAGGTTAGACATAAGTAAAATTTATCAATGAAAAGTCTCACCCCAACCCCAAGCATAAGGACTGCTAAATTCACAAAACAATGGTAATAATCAAATACGAGTTTTAGCTATTGATGTGACAAGTTACATTTTACACAAACACTAAGAAATTGTTCTATAATTTCACAGGAAGTGCATGGCCTAATTTATTTCTGAATATAATCTCAAGATGTAGCCATAATTAAATACTTACATTGTCTTCTGACAACTTATCTATTGTCACCTTGGCCTCTATTAAGTGGTTATTTAATGCAATTATTTCATGGCTCAAAGCCCGTTTTTCCTCTTCGTAATGCTGACCCTGTGTAGAAAATGGAGTAGTCAGTATTTTTCCACTATCAGAATATTTCAGAAAAAAGCCCAAAGGTTGATCTAGTTCTCAAATCCAGGGAAAAGCACAGCAGACCATTTTCTTTTTCTTCTTCTATTTTTTGATGTTTTCACTCACCAGATGAGGCAAAGTACTTTGAAGATATGGAAGTCAAACTGATATCACATTAGGAGCCTTCACAAACAGTTCTAGCTAGTCTGTGCAAAAGCGTTCAGCTAAACATCAGCTGTTCCTTCTTCATCACAAGGCAGGGCTTCTAACCTGCAAAGGAATTGGGCTGCTCTTGGCTTTTACTATAAGTGTTTCACACCATTAGCTCCCATTCTCATTGGAGAGAAAGAACCATATTTAAAAAGGAAAGTAGCTATGTTTGAGCCGATTTATTTTTAGCTGTTGACTGTGATGGCTGCTTTAAAAGCCCTGAATGAAGTCATTCATTTCATGAATGTTTGCCTGACTGCAGGGTTAAAACTCATTGGCAGAATGTGACCCCCTGTGGGTTAACAGGAAAATAGTCTGATTCAAACTTTGTGCTGCCCCCTAATTTAATCTTGTTGCCGATAGGCTGTAACTTTTTATTATAAATGCAAAGAAATCAGCAG